AATTGACATATATCTCCAATCAATATGTTGTAAGTTGAATCTTTTGCCTTGTTGTACTAAAAAAAAGTAATTATTTAATATTATAATKAATTTTCTACAAGCTAGCTCCATGATGAAATTGAAAGTTTAATATTAGAAATGACTTATATAGATGAGTGGAATTTTCGCACATTATTGATACAATTGATTATATAAATTAATATATTAACACATTTGTTTAAACAAAAAAAAAACCCTAGTCATTCTGAAAACATCTTTCAGAAATGAGCTTAAAAAAAAGACTAATTTTGAATTAAACAATTTTATTTTATAAACTTCTTTATCAGCTAGATTTTTGACAAATTCCGTGTTTTTTTTAAACCAATTATTATTTTTAGATTTCATACCGAACTCCCCCTCTAATTTCAATTATGAACCTAAGGCTATATAAAGGGAGCGATGCAAAGAAGATTAGAAAGCAAAGAAATGGAGCCAATTAGTTGYAGGGTGTTTTTGGGAACATGTACTCTTATACTCATGGGATTTCATCTTATCGTTTTCTAGATAGATGCTAGAAAAATTATTGTCCCCATCAAAGATTTAGAATAATCTATTCAAGAAAACGAATCAATGGTTAATAAGGAAATGTACTTAAAACAAGTACCAATTATGCATCMAACTAGGTTGAGTGAGAGGTCACGTCCTCCACCGCGCTCCATCGTCTACCATTTCAAAGAAGAAATTGTGACCTTATTTTGTAATACATCCAAAGGACAACCTAATTTCTCATTCTRGGCCGGGTCAAAGGTTTTCTCACTCATTACCACCTCCATCGAAGGGATTATGACCCTTTTGGTAATGCATCTAAAAGGTAACCTAATTCTTCATTTTGAGCCGACTCAAAGGTTCCCAGACTCATAACTTCCTCCACCAACGAAAGGATTATGACCATTTTTTGTAATGCATCTCAAAGGTAACCTAATTTCTCCTTCTAGATTGAGTCAAAGGTTCTCGGACTCATCACCTCCTCCAACGACGATGGGATTATGACCCTTTTTCGTATTTCATCCAAAGTAAACTAATTCCTCCTTCTGGGCCGAGTAAAAGGTTCTCAGACTCATCACCTCCTCCACCGACGAAGGGATTATGACATTTTTTTGTAATGCATACAAAAGGTAACCTAATTCATTCTTCTGGGTCRAGTCAAAGGTTTTCTGACTCGTCACCTCCTCCATCGACAAAAGGATTACGGCTCTTTTTTTAGTGCATAAAAAAGGTAACCTAATTCCTCATGTCCAAGTTAAAGGTTTTCGAATTCATCACCTTCCCCACCACGTGCTCCATAAATCATTTTTAAGAAAGAAATGAAGTTCAATTTTTAAATGTATCAACAAGGTGTACCTGTTACTACATCTGTGTGGAATGGAAGGATACTAAAATTACTATCTTATTAACGGTCTTTCCCATCACAGTCCTCTTAATTAAGAATCTCATCACTACTTATAATAASGGTTGATGATTGAGGTATCTTCCTTTAGATTATGTCAAAATAAAAATACCTATTATTTATTTTTTTTTATCTCAAAAGTTCACCTTAAATTTGTCCTACTAAAAGCATTAGGTCAAATAACTATAATTTTATATTTTTAAAAAATTAATAATCGTAATAAATTACATGAGTGTAATTTTATTTTTATTTCTAAATTTTATTGTCTTCGAATTAAAAAAAAACATATGTTTTCTTATTATTATTTTTTATAGTTTTTGTAATATTTCACTTATGATAAATGAATAATCATTTTGGACTATTATTTTCACACTCTAATTCAACAACTTTAAATAAATAAACATAAAAAATAAAAATAAGTTCATTTAATACATCAAATTAAAAGAAATAAATAAAACATAGATCAACGRCAATAAAAGAAAAATAATAACACCATTAGAGAGAGAAATCATACATGGCTTTTAGATAATTTTCTTAGAGTACATTGGTATTTGGTTGTAGTTTAAGATCATGCATGTTGGAGGTGTTGATCAACACTATGTCACGAGGACATAGAGTGGAAGGACCAGCAAGTCTATCAAACATACCATACTCGATTTGACTAGGCYGAGCCAAGTTGAGCAGAAGTCTTGTGCACGAAGTACGCTTTTACAATCCTACTCTTGGATCCACTCAACTGAACCTATTGTCTGACTTAAACATTGAAGTGTGTTAGGATTATCATCACACTGGCCTCATTTTGTATGTGATGTTCATTGGTGCATTCGATATCGAAACCCGAATCCAAACCCCTTCATCAAGATATTATATATTTAAATTAATACGCAGAAGAAATAAATATAATATAATAAGAACCAATCTTTCGAGAAAAAGAAAATTAAAATTTTGATTTTTCTAAAAGATACGTCTAAAATCCCCTTTTATTCATTTTAGATTATAATTATATGGGATTAATGCTAAATTTTGTATTTAAAAGGAAAAACATTCACTTTTACCCTAAACTTGTACGGTATATCAATTTTTATTCTAAAATTTCAATTTCATCCGGTTGCACTATAAACCATAATAAATGTGTTTTCTTTTTTTATAAATACAATTTACTCTTTACACTGTACACTTTAAAAAAGATGCAATCATAAGTTTTCATTTTAAGAATCATAAAAAAAAGTAATTAATTATAAAACATTTATTTGATACCCAATTGGGGAAAAAAACATTAGAGCGAGATGTTTTCTTTTTTTTTTCTTCCTTGAATTTGTAAATATGATAGAAGTTATTTAATAGTCGATTTTGTACATTAATCAAACTAAAAGTTATGCTATACTTTATTCTCATTAATTAAATTAATAAGTTCTAAATTTAGGMTTCAATATGATAAAACGGAAAGTTTACGGTGAAAATTGATACAACTGGCTAAGTCTAAAAGTAGAAATTGATTCTTTTCCATAACAGTTTAAGAAAATAAAAATATTTAGAATKGTTAAGAAAGTCTATTATTTATAAGCATTGCTGAAAAATGAACAATAATTGAATAATGGAATTTGGTGAGAAGGGCAAGGGACCATATAGAGTGTTGGTCATATAACAACCACCCAACCACTGTGGCTTTGGTGGAACAAATAAAAACCTTCAAATTTCAATAATACAAAAGTCAATTTTAGGTACATTTCTTTCTAATTTATTTAATGCCATCCCATGTTACTCTCCACCAAATTTCTCTTTCTCAACCCATAAAAAAAAATTTAAAATTTTTAAAAGAGCAAGATTATATGAAAAATAATTCTCAAATCACTTTCTATAATTATTTTGAAGTTTTTGAGACTTGTGGAATAGTTGTGAAATATATTTAGAAGAATTTGGCTCATGTATGGTTTAGAATTAAGAAGTTTGAATTTGTGTACATAGTTGTTCCGAGAGCAGCTCTATTGGCAAGGACATGGGACGTTGGAGTTTCACTTACCATGATATTTTGTTATTAAACTTTTGGATGAGTGTTTAATATCGAAAACTCTTGATGTCTCTCGAGGTCCAAACTTTGAGGTGAGCGTCGGTGCTTCTAGTATCGGGATAAAAAGCTAAAAAAAAAAGACCTTTATGATTTATAAATTAAATGTGTGATTTGTTTGTGCACCTATGTTGTATTATCAAATATATAATCTAAAATAAAAGAAATTAAAAAAAAAAAAACTTGCGTATCACTATCAAACATAGACTTAACATTATAACTCAAGTAAGACACCCAATTCATGAACCCAMAAAGGAGAAAAAGAATCATGAATCAAACACTCCTCTRACATTTACAACTCAGTAACAATTCTTAAAAATAATTTCCTTAAATTACAAATTTAGTCTTTAAACTTTCAAAGTCTTGTCTAATAGGTCCGTGAACTTTAAAGAATATCTAATAGATTCACAATTTTTCAATTTTATGTCGAATAGATTCCTAAATTTTGAAAATGTCTTATAGATTTCAAAACTTTTAATTTTATGTTTAATAGATCCTTAATTGATCCCTCGCCTATTTGACATTTTTTACATTTATAAATCTATAAGACAATTGAGTTACGTGTCTAATAGAATCTTGATTTTTCAATTAGAATCTTGATTTTTCAATTTTAAAATTGAAAAGTTATGATCTTATTAGACACTTCTAAAGTTTAACGATCTATTAGACACAAAATTAAAAATTTAGAACCCGTTTGTTAACATTCTTGTTTTTGTTTCTGATGCCCAACCCACATAAATTCAAGCATGATAAAACTATATTCTTATATATATTTTATAACAAATTGAAAACGGRAACAAGAAACAGGAAACTTGTTTTTGTTGTTCCAAAAATTTCTATACATGTTTCTATAAACTGAGAAACAAAAAACAATAAATAGRTGTGAAATGTTTATATTTCTTAATAATATTGGAAACGAGAAGCAAGAAATCGTTCTCTCAAGAAACGGGCCATGGATTCCATGAGTATGAATGTACAAATTAGTTGGGGGTAGATGTAGTAGAGTGGTTCTCTCAAGAAAATGATTCAAGTAACAATCTGTCTCTGTACTGCACAAAACTTGAAGCTCTTAGAGAGAAATTTTCATCCTACCATGAAACACTACCCCTTACGTATTGACTGTATTTCAATCAAGTTGAGTTCTCTCCAAGTCTCAACCAAGAAACTTCTTTTTTTTTGTTTCTTCCACACACACACACCAGAAAAAGGACACAGAATCAAAAGGATCAATCAAGTCATATGTAATCCATTTCAGTTATATCAACATTTATTTTATCAGTCAGTAGAGAGCATACCTTCCTTTCTTTCAAGAACGACTTGGGCTGGATAAAGAAGGGCGGCCGATCTTCARCGAATGCGTCATATGAACTGCCATAATTGCAATCTTCATGGACGGGGACTGTAGGTCTCATTTCATCCATTGGGAATTCAAGTATATGATAAGCTGTTTGGCAATGCTCTTCTGAGCCTGAGAAACATTTCCATCCAAGATCAAATACAAAGCCAGAAGCGCTGAGACTTTCTATAGAAGAATGCTGAGGTTCGTCATCCAGCACATTGTTCATAAGCCAACGCGCACTTTGTGTGTGGAAGAAGTCACAGCTGCCATTGTAATCGGTGTAATTATCACACTGARTAAGACATTTGGGTACATATGAGAAGTTCAAATGCAGGTTGTTGAAAGCGGCATGTGTATTTTCCTGCCTACTTGACCCATGAATTTGATAGCTGGCTAAACTGGAGTATGGAAATGAGTATAAGTTTCCATGATTRCTGGAAGGGAAAGGAGATGAACACAGCGCCACGGCACCAGATCTCTCATGCAAGTTTGGCTGGTGATCATCAGCAAATGAAGTTGGTGGCTCGGCAAATTCGTTCAATTCTGTAAGTTGAGAAGAAAAAGCACTTTCATCTTTTATGTTGTCAATATCCCAACTGAGCAGAAGAGCTTCTGGCTCTTGCTTTATTAGTTGCAAAGGTTCACCAAAATCATATCGACTATATCGCGGTTTGAACTGGCTGGAAATAAGCGATTTATAGTCTTCAACAGTAAGAAGTGAACTATTGGCATCCAGCAAAGTAATTGTTCCTTCTAATTCACAGTCAGATTCGTTGGTTCTGTACTTAACTTGGAATTCGTTATCATTGCTATTGGTTGAGAAGTCAGAGTGGGAGAGAACCCTTCTTCTCGATTTATTCAAACGAAAGGATGATGAATTATTATTCAAATGATGCTCATGATCAAGTCTTGAAGAGCAACTTCCAGGAAACCATTGTAGTTTTTCCGAGTTATTATCGAACTGTGGGGAATCAGGTTCATTCTAAAATCAGTAGCTATTCACATAGAGCTGAATTGATAGAATTTTTAAGAACAGTTTTAATTGAGCTGAAAAATCCGAAAAAGTTGAAACTATTGGATAACGGTAAAAGAGCATACCCTATACTGACTGCTCTCAGGTAGAAGCCGGCCAAGTAGCATGGAAATAACACCACCAGACCTGGAAAAGTTTCAAAGAAYTCCATTGTTGGAGCCAGAAAGTTAATGAAATAACAGATAAATCAGAGGCGAGTCTGACCCCTTTTCGTATGAATCAAGCGTTCCATAGAATGACATACTCTGAATGAACTGACGTAATTTCTGCCTCTTCCTACTAAAAATATCTGCATGAATATCCCATCTTTCTTTTAATGTAGAAAGGTAAACAAATACATTACATGTCAATGAACACGACTCAGAATGTTTTTAAAACTATAAGATCAAGAATCCCCAACTCCGTTAAGAATGCAAAAATGGATTAAAAAAGAAACCAAGGAATGTAACAACAAATTTATGTATTTCCAAAAGATGACACTCGCTGATCAAAATTCAAAGTTGGGATTCTCTATTTTTTTTTTTTTAAAAAAAGGAAGAAAGATAAAAAAAAGGAAATAGAAAGAAAATCAGATGACAAAGAATTACCATCATTTTCCATGCTTCTCTGTTTGCTCTGTATATCCAATGTTTCATGAGCTTGTTTCACATCTACCTCCTCTTCAATAAAACAAAGGACTCAAGTTACTATTTGGAAACTATTTTGTTTTCCTGTAGGCTTTGATTTCATCATGTAATTCAAACCCAAAATAACAAGAACCAAATTGAGAGATATTACTTTTTTTTTTCCAATTCATTGTATAGAACTAACATCAGTAAATGGTACACAAATTATGTTTTACAGACTTAATAGATATCTTTTCAGTGACACATCAATAGTGACAACTCAGTTAATACTAGCCATATACTTGCTCCATTGACTTTTTTACACATCCATCCAGGATCATGCACATCAATTATCAAACCAAAATTCATAATTTATGTTGATTTGCTTGCTTGCATATAATTTACTCCACTACATTAACCTACATAGTATAGTGGGAGGAATACATGGAGGTATGCATGATGAAAGAAAAAGGTAATGTTACAAAATATTAATAACGTCTTCAATTATACATGTTCTGTCAATCTACATGTCAGACACGAATTGACATAAAATAGAATATAAAATTTGATGAACGTCTGCAAGCAGTGTACACCCGAAATTTTGGAGGAATTACCGAGTGGAGAACTCATTGAATCAAAGTTAACAGGAGTCACATTTTCAACAAGAAAATGTGATGTGAAGTCCTTGCAGCAGTTTTTGACAGGGCTGGTTCTCTCTGGTTGGAAAGAAAAAAATTGTTACAAGTTACAAGGCACGTACAACTTTTATTGTGATCCTATGTTTTATGGTTAATTCTAAGAATGGTTTAACTTGAAGAAAAAGTACAAGCTAACATGAGGCTGACTGGAAGGTTTTAGCCTCACATGTGCAGATATAAGGAAGATACCGGAAGTATAGTTCTTATAAAAGATCTACACATTTTTCGTATCGCAAAGCATTTTTCTTTTCTTTTTTTTTTTTTGGCTAAAACTTACGTCTTACCTCTGAAGCAACCTCTTGGGTTGAACTTCTTTGATTGAAGTTCCTTTTGACGTGGAAGAGAGGAACTGAATCTAAGGGTTGCATCTTCCTTGAACTTCTTAAAGAATGCAAACTCAGAAGTTTTTGCAGTATTTGCTTCTCATTGTTCCCACAAAAGAAAACATTTCAACAATTCAACAAGGGTTCGTGCGTTAAGACAATAAGAAACTTAACTAGAATAAAACAAAAAAAAAGTACAAAGATGAGTAGTAATAATAACACCGAGCCTTATATCTCGCTACTGTAGCAAACTACAACAAGAGAGTTGGGTAATTTATAAAACTTACGGTTCGTAACATGTCCTTCTTTCGAGGGTATGGCCCGTATAGGAGAAGTGTCTCTTTTGCATGTCAAAGGTGCAYCATTATTAAGATCTCTAACTTTTATTCTTTTACGACAGCTACTTTCTGTTAGGAATGTTCATAAAGGATTAGCAACATTATTTGAAAAGAAAAACTGTCGGAGTCATTTAATTTACTAGGTAGAAATTCACTAGCTGTAACAAATTAGAGCAAACAGGGGATTGACTGAAAAATATACTCTTGTAGTTTAACACAATTGCAAACGTAACTTGKATGGTTGATACATAGGAAAACCTATCCTTATTGCTAATATGGAACCAAACTAAAAAGGGTGTTCTYGCATTTTGCAAAACAGTGACATGATAACGAGAGCGAAGGAAGAAATCAATGAARAAAAAGGAAAAAGAAAAGAATCTTTCTCACTATTTGTACAACTACATGAGACTAAACAATCATTTTCAACCCAAAAAGTTACATTTATAAGTGTGTTAAAAATTGCATGTGTCCCAAAAATGAAAAGATGAAACTGATGTGATCTGAAAGATTCAATATGTATTCAAATCAATGATGTTGAATTTTACAAACAAACCACATAATAGTTAATTACAGAGTATATACAATACGAGATCAGAAGAAAAATTGGGTTCGTGCAGAAATTGATATACAATTGGCATTTTTACGAAAGTAATCGAAAACTGGAATGAGGAACTGAAATATCAAAGGGGGAAAGCATGGAGTGGGATTGATGATTGAAGAGCGAAACGAAGAGACAGCAGTATTATATTGGAAACCCAAAAACATGAGAAATGGAAGAGAAACCATTGTTTGGTTGGAATTCTGAGGCATGAAGACGCTGTGGAGAAGCTCGGAGGAGGGTCGCTTTGCGCTTCATCTATGCCCTACAACCGAAGGATTCTGCTTCTTCTTGGCGTCTCTCCCATGGAAAATTAGGCGCCAAAATGCTTCACGGAGACCGGATATCACATTTTTCACTTTTATATTTTACACCAATTAGATTCACGTGCTACCCTCCACGCTCGGCGATCGAATTCACCATTTGATTTTCAGAGATATATATCAATTATMAAAAATATATGATTAATCTTCTATTAATAAAGTTGGTTGATAATGTGTGTATATATATTTTTGACAAAGTAGATAATGATATATATTTGTGTCGGTATACCTCATTTTACGACGAAGAGAGTTGTTATTGKATGCATATATTCTTTCTAAACATGATACTATTATCTTTTTCACCRATAAAATATAGTTTAAGAAATTCATCTAAAATTTATATTAGAGGAAGTTTAATCTGTCAATTATACCATCAGCATGATGTTTTGGAGTAAAATATTTTTGTATTACAATGGATAAATGTGATATATTTTTCATGAACACATTTTTCAATCCATGAATGAGTMGGTTTCATTGTTTGAAATAAAATTTGTTAAAAATATAAAACATAATATTTTTAAATTATATATAATATAGATATAAATATAAACATTATTAAATAAAATATATGAAAAAGTTGAAAATTATACATTACCGTACTTCTTTCTTTCAGGTGATTTATATTAGGTATATTTATAATTTCCAAATCTTTATTTTTTATTTTTTATTTTTACATGTATTTTGAAAATCTATGTTTGCTGCAATTTTATTTATATTGATTGATCTTTTAATTTTTCTCTTCGCTTTTCAATGGACAATTCTACTTCTTTTTCACCTWTTTTTATTTGCATTCGTTTTTTGTTTTCCCATTGAAAATTAGTAACCATATATTAGTAATTATAAGAAAATTTTATCACACTTTTTTTCAAAGAATTTTCTCTATGTTCTTAATTGAATCTTCATTTTAAATATAATATACTGCAAGATGCCAAGAAACTGATTTAGAAATTTAAGAGAATAAAAATGTAAGGAAAAAACAAAGAATTTGTTAACCTCAAAACTTAATRATTAAACCATTATTACATAGTTTATGAATAAAAGTTAGGAACACGTTATTTTAAATTTAATATTATAGATTAAGTAATTATTTAATATTATAATTAATTTTCTGCATATTATTTGTTTTTCTAACACAAAAATATAYACGGACCTTAAAACTAAAATAGTAAAAAGTATCTAACATATCTCAAAATTTAATACCGAATAATAATCTTGTCTAGCCGTAAAAATGCCTACAAGTTGTCATAAATCTTAAAATAGAGAAAGAAAGAAAAATAAGGGCTCATCTGTTRACCTATTTCTTGTTTCTATTTTTTCATTTTTAATAAAGAGAAATGGATTGTATAGCTCCAACGTCTCTAGATTCAAGGATGATAAAATAATCATTTTTATTTATGTTTTCGAACCAATTGAAAATGGAAACAATTCTAAAATTTCTATATAATTTTGAGAATGTTCCGAGAAAAAGATAGAAAGAAAAAACATAATAAATTACAAAATACTTAAATTTCTTAAGAAAATTGGAAACGAGAAATAAGAAACAAAAACAGAAAGACCGTARACTACTCAAAGGTGTTAGTTTAATCACTTAATAAAACTYCATGGTAAAATTGAAAGTTTAAGATTAAAATTGCCTTATTGAACKGAGTGGAATTTTCGCACATTATTGATACAATTGATTATATACTAATATATTAACACATTTGTTTAAACAAAACAACCCAACAAAATTAGGAAAACTTTGAAAATGTCTTTTAGAAATGAGCTTAAAAAAGGACTAATTTTGGATTCAACAATTTTATTTTAGAAACTTCCTACCAACTAGATTTTTGACAAATTCCGTGTTTTTTTCAAAACCAATTATTATTTTTAGATTTTATACCGAACTCTCCCTTAATTTCAATTCTAAACCCAAGGCTATATAAAGGAAGCGATGCAAAGAAGATTAGAAAGAACGTAGAAGAAATGGAGTCAATTAGTTCTAAAGTGTTTTTGGGAGCATGCACTCTTATACTCGTGGGATTTCATCTTTTCATTTTCCAAACAGATGCTAGAAAAATTATTGTCGCCAACAAAGATTTAGAATACTCCATTCAAGAAAAAGAATCGATGGTTAACAAGGAAATGTACTTAGAACGAGTACCAATTATGCATCAAACTAGGTTGAGTGAAAGGATATCAGACTCTTCACCTTCTCCACCGCATGCTCTATCTACCATTTCAAAGAAGAAATTGTGGCCCTATTTTGTAATACATCCAAAGGGCAACCTAATTCCTCCTTCTGGGCCGAGTCAAAGGTTCTCTGACTCATCACCACCTCCATCGACGAAGGGATTATGGCCCTTTTTGGTAACACATCCAAAAGGTAACATAATTCCTCCTT